ATCCCGGACTAAGATTCTGTAAATAATCTACTTGGAACGAAGTATAATCCCAGACTAAGAGTTTGTTAATACTCTACTGAAGGAACTAACTATAACCTTAGGCTATAAACATCGATTTATACTAAGCGCAACCGCGAATGCGAACACTGAGGCACTCTGCGCGAATTATCGTACTTAAAGCGGCGATACAAGCGGAATTTCGATTTGACCATGTATGTCTAATTGGCTAATTAAAATCGTTCGCGCGAATTGTTTGCAAAAACAATTCGCTCTGCAGGCAATCTCCGCGGTTTTCAGTGCGAACAAAAGTTCGGCCGCGTTCGCCATCAAGCATCGGTCACATCTTACGGTCACGTACGTATAGTTAGTTGACCGTAGTTCATTTGAACTTACTTCAAACGTAGTCCAACCCTACTAGTTGACCCTACTTGACTGTATATATAGTGTTAAGCGTAATGTCATACGGTCAATATGTTGAAATGAAAATTTTGGGTCTAACCACGATCAAATCACTGGTTTCTTAAAGTTCAAACTATGTACGTCTATAACTACCTTAAACTACGGTTAACGGATCCAGATATTGATCTTTAAATTCTCCAAAATATATCTCCATTGACCGACAAGCAGGTTATCAGTAACAGCGACATACCTTATATGGAATATTTTTTCAGATGTCACTGCATTATTTGAGCCGCTTACTTGCGCTATCAGAAGAGTAGTTCCAAAACAGATTCCCTGCTACCCACCGCTTAGAAATGGTTCCACTACTGATGTCTTTCGCCTTAATCCAGCCACACAGTTTAACGTTACAAGTATAATAACTACCCACCGCTGTGTATCTTTCCTAGCATATTTTTTATAAACAATATTTTATTCTCACAAAAGGATTGAGGAACAGGCTAAGCCTATATTCTTTCTCTCCTATATAACAGAAAATATATACAAAAAGACTCTTTAACCAAATTATGATAAGATCAATTAGAATAACATAGCAATAAAAGGAACAAAAAGTCTATGACATATTTATAATTTCAGATTTGACATATTTTCAACAACTGAAACTTAGTGTTAATTAAACCGTCAGGAAATGTCTAAACCTATGGACTTGTTGAAAGATCACACTAGAAAAAATATCGTTTGCTCCTTTTAATAATGTTTGTATTGAAATTAGGTTTGGGGTAAGATACTTGAATGTTTACGTGCGTCGGTATGTAGAGGAATGTATTATTCTGTTATGTATCAGCTTTAAAATACATCACAATTAGTCCCTTTTCTGTGGGGGCCATGTAAACATTTATTTATTTATTTTTTTTTTTTTTTTTTAAAGACTACTACGCATTACATTACCGAAGACTGAATGTCGTTGTAGGAAGAAGCTTGTATCGTCAAAATGATATTGTGGCAATCGGAAAACCAATACGAATATTCCCCAAACACAATGGTATATCTTTAATAATGCTATGTTAATTCCCAGAAACTTCTAACATCCGGCTTCTTTCATAAGAAATCTATGAAAATCGGATTATACAGATGCACAAATTAATGATCCCATCACAAATCGAAATAACTCATCAGACCAACCCAGTTAAATTTTAAAACCTGGTACTGATATTTTTCTTCGTTCCCATACTCTATGGGAGACAACTCTTTATTACAGTGGGAGACAGACCACCATTAATTTCTCCGTTGAATTCAATGTTAATTATGCCCACCTTCAACTTATCCCAAAATTTGCGTTGGGCTGAATACTTTTCACTACAGACAAAGGAACAAATGGTGATGTATTTGCACTAAAATTTGTATGAGGTTGACCACCAAAATTTCGAGATACACAAACTTGAAGAAGCATACTAAAAACATTTCCTGTACATCACCGTAACCATAACCAACCTGATAACTCTGTTATCCTTCCGCCTCAAAATCATGAATATTTACCAAAACCTGGCAGAAAATGTTAATTCAAACCCAATTCTAGACAACAAAAATGGACATGCAAATGGGGAGAAAAGAGCGAGAGGGAATTGCTATAAATAGACGAACTACAGTTTGTTGGTACCGAGAAGGTGAAATTTAATGGTGGTCTGCCTCCAGTGGGATCATCTGAAGAATAGTCCAAAGGGTAGTGAAGGCAAGTAAAACGAAATTTTGGACCATAAAAAAACGAAATGAAATAGGATTGGAATAGAGGCTACAGTTTTTAACACATTTTTAGGGTCCATTTCTTGCAAAACTGTGGTCGCATCTTGCATGGAATCGCTTGTTTTTATCGCATTCATTAGACTACGCATTCGCGGGCTTCCTAGCTAAAGGTAACCTGTAAGGAAAATAAGATTGGGAGGGGAATTTTTTTAACACATCTTTTTCAATTTGGTGTGAAGCATGGGGTCTATGTAACAACCATCCAGGTAACCTGTAAGAAAAAGAGGACTGGGAGGTTAAGTTTTTAAGACATCTTTTTGAATTTGGAGTGAAGCGTAGGGTTCATACAACCACTCAGTCCGGGGTAACCCAAAAACCGTCTGCACACGATAGAGACTACAGTTGTTAACATACTTTTAGGGTCAATTTCTTGCAAAACTGTCGGCAACCGCTGGTTAGTATCGCGTTCATTAGACTGTGCATTCCCGATAACTTGAGACCATGCACTTCGGGCTATCCAAGAATATTAGGACTGGAAGAGTTGTAGTGGAGACCATAGAAATTATAAAAAACGAAACGAAATATAGATCTGTATTTTAATCAGATTGCCTCTATCGTGTTCAGAAGGTTTTTGGCAAACTGAGGTAATTCCGGAATGGAAGGTTGTATAACACTGAATATCTTAAAAAAGACCTCATCCCAATACGTTATCTTTTACTACTACATGTATTATGGGTTTGTTGATTTCGAAATAAATATCATCTGGCCGAAATCAGACTTCGAAAATGACATGTGTCTTTCGATGATTAATAACCCAAGTTTTATTGCGAGTTTCTTGTTATTGAAATAATTTCTTGCTTAAAAATAATAGAGATAAATTGGAAACCGACATTTTGAACTTTTACTCTTAGTACTCTAATTATGAATAAATTTGCTTTATTTTGACAAATTGACATATGGTGCCTTTAAGAATGAGCGTGTTGTGGTGACATAGCTGTTTATGCAACAGGAGTTTAGCTCTGTTAGTCTGATTAAACATTTTCCTTGACTAATAATATAAACTGATTCCATTACACAAAGTTGCTAGAAACGTTAGCCAGACTAATCAATTAACGTTGATTAGGTCACGTAGTTAATATTCTAAATTGGGACTGGCCAATCAGTGCACGCATCCTGTTATTGTTTTAAATTGAAGCTTTCTAATTTGAAATTGCGTCCAAATTCCTTTTTGGGTATTACTACACAACTAAACGACTATTTATAGCATATAAAATTAAACTTAGATCGATTATATTGTTCTGTTTCTCGCCGTTTTATTAAAATTAATATATTTTAAAACCCACCGTCGACATATTGAAACTGTCCATTAAGAATTGTTTGATTTTCAAATTTGCAGTGATTTTCCATATTTTGGTCATGAGTTTGGGGTAAATGTTCTAATCCGATTAGATTTTCTTACATAACAATAACACATTTTACAAACAGTATTCATCTGAGCTTCCATATTTTCATCGGATAAATCAATCATGTTTCTGGCCAATAAAGAGTAATTTGACCATCATCAACGGAAATCAACTTATCGATCGACACTTTTTGTTGCCTTGTTGTTTAGCGCCAATAAAAACACATTTCGTTTTCTGAGAATTCAAATTTCATCATTTTAATGACATCCATGATTTAATTTCCGATATGCTGCTTTCAATATTATATTTTAAACGATCAAAGTCAGAAGCATATGTTTCATGACAATATTTAACCAGACGTTTTAGTATACAGACTAAAAAGGATTTGGCCTATAACAGACCTCTGTTTTACTTGCTGAAGTCATTCAGTCTTCTTGGTGGGATATCACCAATGCCCACAAAAAGTCCACAATTTTCAGTGTATGTCCGCAGTGGCTGTAAACCAGCTAGACGCCATATTCATTAGGATGTCGTCCAGGAGTATCTTTTACCTCTTAACTTACCCATAAAGTACATGGAGTTGGATTTATAATCTCGATTAAACTTGGTTTGCTTGTGTAGTCTAGCATTCTATAGCAAGGTGGGGGTGGGGATGTATTACTCACAACCAAATATATACTGAGACAAGAATATTTTAACACCCAAGCTAAAAGCTGAATTCAGGAAATCTTTTGTATTTTCTATTACCACGGATTTATTCGGCCAACTTATGTTTTTGTATAGCAATTATTATAGTAGTGTCACGTGCGAGGCACGGTAAAATATGCGTATTTTGGGGGCAAACACCGGACACTACTTTGCTATGATTATTTTGGTATGTTTCCCTAGTAAATTCCACATACCATTATACGTTTGTGTATGTCTTTTCTTCACAGATGACATCATTATAGTGCAAGGAAATTGAGCTCAAACTTTCAAAATTTTCTGGAGGTAAAATATATCCCCCTCGAGGCTCACACCAGAGCAGGAACATCCGATTATTTTTCTGCACTCGTCCCTGTATTAGTGTCAATGGTACTAAATTTTATTATTATCTTATTTGTATAGAAGTAAGGACCGGGGTAGATAAACTTAGAAGCTGGATCCTAAACCTTTGGTAATAGACAAGATATAATAATCCTGTTACGGTCATGATGGGTCGGCTATAAACTACATGCAACATTTTAATTGAACACGTACTCATCATTAAATGTTTAAGGTGGCTAAGGGTAATCGGGTGGGGAGAGGGCCAAGATGTATTACTAGAACATTAATTGAAAGTGTAATCCGCGTGTCAGTGTCGTGTGCCTTTGGTTAAAGTAAACCCAGATTGGACCTCGTCATGTTGCTCTATATTTAGGTCCCACCCCCAAAGACTAGGGCAATAGATGTTGGAAAGCAGTGAAAACTCAATTTGATTATAATAACTGTTTATTGCAGATATTGATACTATGTATGGTGATACATCGTGGACATCATAAGTATTAAACTAGTATAATAATAATAATAAATGTCGAAGAACTAGTGAATATTACTCTTTTTAGGTCTCTCATATTGAGAGTGAATAATCAATATTTGTTCATGAATTTGACAGTGAAATTATGAAAGCGGTTTACTTTGACTATAATTTTCTTTCGAACATTAATCTACATTCATTAATCTACTCTATTCTAAATGAAAGATCGATCACACAGACAATTCATAGCTACCTGTTTATAATAAGCACTTTAAATTGTATTATATATCAACAATGCCTAAATACAGATTTGTTCGATGTAACAATTATCCAACTGATAATCTATTCAAGAATTAACAACAGATCTAAACATCGACTATTAAACAATAATTAATGGTAAAATATTCAATGAATAATAAAGTAAGTAACAATAACTAACGATATAAAGAGTAATTATCCTGTACACACAATCATGTAGAATACAATTACTGTCTATTACCGACTAGAATTCTGGAGTCTTTGCCAAGCAACTGATTCAATGTGGAAATGTTTATCTCCACACCCCCACACCGATGCCGTGGTAAGGTTGGGAATATACGAAAAGTTCAATAACACACTACGTGTTTTATATTTCCACGATTGACTTGAACCAAACCATCTGGGCGAAGGTGTGCTAAGGGAGATAACCTAGTTTTTAGAGTAAAATCGTTCACAGACACAACATATTATAGCCCCGGTCAACTTTTTTAGTGCCATTAAAGTCAAAAACATGTGTATATCCAAAATTGGTGCCAGATGTTTGTTTGGTATCTAATAAATTAGCTCACTATTTTGAATCAATAGTGGATCGATGAAACTGTATGTAAAAATTCATATCCTTATTTTCTGCTACCCAAGACCTAGGGGCTTCCGGCCACGGTGTACACTAATTTTTCTAGTCAGAAGAATAGGGGATTAGATGGGTGCGCAAGTCGCGGGGGTTGGGAGGGCTCCTCGTCATCTAAATCATGCACTGATTCAGCCTGACTGACCGGAAATGAATTATGATATTATAAATCAAACAAACTATGACACAGTTGTATATGGATATTACATTTTTGGCATAAACGCCAATCAACGGGAGAATTCAAAATCACTACTTCGTGTATGTGTATAATATACGGGTATTATACAGGATTCAGCGGTTTTCTTCAAACTGACCGGGGCCTATGTAGTTATTTTATTTTAATTTAAGGGACCCTCTTTTATATATCACAACATTTTAATTTGAACCTGAGTGATGAAAATAGAACTTGGTGAAACAAGCAACAATGGTAATATATTATAATAATCCAACGAAAATACAATTTCTCTATAACCATAACTATAGTATATCTAATGCTAATTATCCATTAATTTACTTAAGGCTTTTGCATAATCTTATATTAGTGTCTAAAAATATAGCTTTATTTAACGTCACAACTCTGTGGTAGCACTGCATTAATAGTGTATGTGTGTCTAGCTGCAATTAGTTTTTCAATATAGGCTTATTGCGAGTCTTAATAATCATCAACAAAATATTTTATATGCTCATTTATCTTTCCTTTTTGTAGGAGAGAGAGAGGGTGCGCGCGAGAGAGAGAGAGGGTGTTGTTTCAATAATTCGCTTGCGCGTAGGGGTCTTTAACAGTGGGAGGAAACCGAAGGACCCGGAGAAAATCCATGAGGTTGGACAGGCGACTCTACTCCTTGTCACGTACAATCTGTTGACAAAAAACACTCTTGTCTGGGTTTTGTTGGTGATTAGTAAGACCGCTCATTTGGACTAATTTTTGCGGGAAACGTGTTTATAATACACAAATAAATGAATAAACTCTTCAGCCAATTAAATTTCAGTGTATAATGACCAATTATGTACATTCTCAAATCCAGCCTAAGGTTTGAATCTTTGATATCAAGAGTTGTCTGTCCTTAGATATTTCATTACGGTTATTTTCATATGACATAACATAAAAATTTATATAGTCGCGATGTTTCTCTTTAGACCATAGCAAATGCAAAATATATGACTAAAATAATAATTCACAATTAATAAAATGGACATAACTAGGAGGATAAACTTCTAATAATGAATCTAAAAATCCATTCGTTATCGAACATATTTATCCTTAGTTGTTTATGAATGATAAAATATTAATTTATGAATGACAAAATATGGAACAAAAGGTAAATCCTAAAGCATATTATGAGTATTTAAAACATTATTATTACTATAACAAGATGTGTTATAATATATATACATGATGTATGATGTTATTATTTTTATTATTATTATCATAATAATAATCAATATTTGCATGTTCTCGGTATATTCTGTTATGATAAATAAATGTATTTTATATTCATATATGTTTATTATAAGTAAATATATACAGCATTTCGGGAGATGCATAGTATTGTCTCACCTGATAAAAGTCTACATGAAAACCTGATTAAATGGTTATCAAATAAAACAATGCACAAAATCTTTATATATAGATTACATTATCATTTTCATTTATATACATAAATAACGGTTCACATTAAAATACTTAAAAACATATAATATTTTTTTAAAAATTTCTTCATTAAATTAAAAAAGGAAAAAAATATGTTGGTCAAATGTCAAGCATCCAGGTAAGAACATGTAGGTCCTACCTACGCATCATGGTATGTTAGGTTCTTTGTGGGTTAATGCCGTTTCTTCCCGGATATCCTATGGATCTTATCAGCAGATGACAATACCTTATTAAGGAATTGGTTAAAATATCTTGCTCAAATTGGTTATCGAGAACTCTATAAAAATTTCACGTAAAATAACCCAATCGTTATTCCTAGGTCATTATTTTCCCTAAAACTATCCAGGGCCTACTCTATAAGGCTACATACAAAACTGACTAACCCACTTGTTCTGAAACTTGATCGATCTAACTTGGAAAATTTGCTGAACTATGCTTTAAATAAAACATGTCCGTATGCTATTAAATAAAACTATGGCTTAAAGAAGGAAAACTCCTGTTTTATCTAGCACTGAAACCTAAATGCATACAATAATTAACATCAGGTCCAAGTCATTACTCAACTTAAAATCCTGCTAGTTGGTTTCCTATAAAAACAAACATAAAGCTCTAGGTCCTTAAAAGCTTTCACATTAGCAACTGGGTTGTCTACAACTAATTGGAATACTTTAACGTAAAATTCTACATAAGAAGTCGCCATATTAGAATAATAATTGCGAAAAGAATCGGTAGTGACGTCATTCGTTTTTGTGCCGAATTACAATAATCTTCAGTACATTCACAGTACTCTATAGAAAAATGGTGTGTACCAATACGTCTTCTACAACCAGCATCACCGCTAGTGGCACACTGCCTGACAATTCGTACTTCTTTATTGTCTGAAATTAGAATTAAAAAATGTCTGGAGGTCTGGTAGTTAACAACTATTTGTTGTATTTTTTGCATTTAAAGGAGCTAAATCGCCAATATATGGGACCTAGAAATTGACACAAATGGGTCGCAACGCATATAATAATGAAATATTAATGTTTATAAACTGATTTACATTCAATCGTTTCCGTTTTTAATGTAATTTCTAATCAATTATGTTCGGTGAAATACCCCAGAAGTCTCAATCGAATAGCAATCTCTAGCCTCTTGTTATTCCAGTCTACACCGATAGTATTTATTGCGCATGCTCTCCTGATAAGAATATGCCTACACCGTCTTACATGACTTGTGGAATATGTCTATCCTCGTTCTTCGAGTCCCTTGATACAAATGGCACTGAAACGCATCATCGTGTACCATTGTTAAAATGTTTATCTTGTCTTAAATATCAGAAGCCCATCTTTTCCCGGTAAGATCACAGCAACCCCATTTCATTTCATTTCATTACTTTTACAAATCAGTGCTCTACACTCTGTAGCATATAAATTATGAAGATGTTTCCTTATATTAAGTGTGTCTGTATAGTAACTCAAGACAGTTTCTTCACGTCCCTTATATTGGAAACTATTGATTAGTCTTACTAATACAGAGGAGTACGTGATAAAAACCATATGCTTAATTATTTAAGCTTACATGTATAAAAGTAGTAAAATAAATTTAGGATACAGAACAAACGTGTAACTTAAATCATAGTAAAAGAAACTTGATTGTTATTTATCTTAGAGTGCTATTTGCTAGAAAACATTACTAACAACAACACTCACTGCATTACAAGTCGCAAGTCGGGAGGTTCAGTACTGGGGGGGGGGGGCATCAAATGGGTACAAAACCAAAGCCAAATTCTCCATGTTAAAATTTTGCGTAGAATACGTTGCCGAGTGGCAATCACGGTCATTTGCACTGAAATGGTTTTGTGCCAATTTGATGGACACTCCCCGCACTGAGCCTCTGGTCTATATGTATAATAAGAAATCTGTTGCATATTAAGAATTCTAGTACGTGGTGTTTGATCAAAATTGTAAAGCAAAATATATTAAAGCAGCTATGGTGGGCTTTGGGAGCATAACCCCATAGAGCCTGTCATGCGTAGGTCGGTTATTGGATGTCTCTGGCAAAACATATTGACGATCCAAAGAAAGTGGTGTGGGGGTGGAATGAAATGCCTGATTATTTATAGTTGCCGGTAATATGTCCTGCTATTTACAATTAATGTGGACAATTGTTAAGTTTCGTTACTCAAGATACAAGTAATTCTTAACATAATAGTAGTTGAGAACTAAGAGGTGTATTTGGTTAATCTTCTTAAAATAATCACACAGAAACTTTCCATTAATGACGTGAACAGTGTTGACCTTCAACCGATTTCTTCTGTGCCTCCAATTTATCTGTTGTTGATGTCTTTTTTTCTGGAGGTTTCGGGAAGACTAATTGGGCTGACAAATTACCAGGGGCTACTGACTAGAATAGCGCCAAGCTTGGGTTGAACTCTTTGCCGCCTGTTCACATGATTTCCTTGAAGCGTTGAAAACACTGATGACGGTTACTAAAGGTCGAGAAGAGATTCATCAATAATCAATGACAAACCCGTCGACCAGATTTTCAAAGTGCTCATTCTAAATGTTCCAAGGTAAATAGTGCTGTTTGCTTGAATAATACTTATATGGTTACCAGGTTGAGCACGATGTTTACTATACGTCTTGTCATTGCTTGATAGTAAAATCATTATACAAATAATTTGTAGTTAATACGATTATAAATTTTAAGGGTGAAAAGGGGTCGTATTTGTACAAATGAAAATATTAAAACATTATGGATATTTATACATTTTCGTAAATCTGGGTTTTTATCAGAATGACTGCAGCACACAATAGGCCTACATGTAATATGGTATTTATGGCCGTCTCTTTTGTATCAGAGTACTATAAATTCCTACGTCAAATGAAACGTCTGGCCAATTAGTTCATTCGGCAAAAGAGACCATTAGTCTTACGAGTAGATTCACTTAAATCACAAGCCTGAGAATATACTTACACGTTTGCAGCATTTTTCTACATCTTGTATAGTTCTTATTTCCTGGTAATTCATCACAATTTAATTCATATAAATGATGTAATTCTTTTGGTAAATTTATGCAATCTTCATGATGATAGTATGAATTACATGTATAACATCTGATACCAAGACCTGTAATATACAATTATTGGTGTGTTACATGTATAACATCTGATACCAAGACCTGTAATATACAATTAATGGTGTGTTACATGTACAACAGCTGATACCAAGACCTGTAATTTACAATGGTGTGTTACATGTATAACAGCTCAGGCCAAGACCTGTAATTTAAAATCATTGGTGTTTTGCACGTATAACAGCTGACACCAAGACCTGTAATATACAATTAATTGTGTGTTACATGTATAGCAGTTGATACCAAGACCTGTAATATACAATTAATGGTGTGTTACATGTATAGCAGTTGATACCAAGACCTGTAATATACAATTAATGATGTGTTACATGTATATTGTAATATACAATTAATGGTGTCTTACATATTATATCAGTTGATACCAGGGCGGGTAGGTAGGGTAGGCACAATGTACGTATATGCACCATCGACCACTCCTGGCTGCTGGTTTGCCCTTGGAAATCGACTGAATATGGCTGGTATTTCTGAATTCTTTTTCGAAAAGGGTGTGCGGCAGTCAACCTGTGCGTGAATCAGTGTGATTAATAAATAATATATTTATAATAAAAATATATTTATAGCCTTTTGAATAATGCTAGATGTCAGTACAATATTCGGGCCCTGTGGCTATTTTAGTTGAATTGTCCTTTGCGACAAGGTATATTCGAAGAATGTAGTATAAAAACACCTAAATCACATGCAGCTGTCTAAATCACGTAGATCACATTGTGATTAGAAGACTACACGAGTTGTGTGCATAATTTTATGCAATTTAGTAAGTGTAGACTACATTTTGATTCTTCGAATATCCTAATACTAAACTTTGTCCCACAATTCGTAAAGTTTGTAAAAGATTATCATACACTTGCTCTGAAGTGTGTGCAAGCACATGGGAAAGATATTTTCAGGATAAAATGTAAATAGCTTTACAGAAGAAATCGGTTGTCAGTAATTAATCTCACAGTGGCTGGCGTCTGTCATAGCTCCAAAATGACCTTTAATGTTGTTCTGTTGATTAATTTCCGGTAGATGTGAAACATTAATCCACAGCGTGCTAAGTTATTGTCAACACGATTAATATTATAATATTGGCATTGTTAATATCAAATCACTAGCCTCAATAGTTTCCAAGAGACAAGGTTGGATTTTTATTTTTCATCCATTTGCGAATTGTAGTGACTCTTTATTCAGTAAGATTTTGAAATAAAAACCTTACCACCTAATACGCCCACAAACAGCAAAGAACTAGTTTTGGAGTGTTTCTGTTGTTTACTTGGGTGTTTTGTTGGTAATGTTTTTAACAGGGGAATCAGGTCGTGAATAAAAAGTTTTGTTTGGACCACAAGAACGATTTTTTGGCAAAAGTACCCCGATCATTACGGGCCATAATGCCACCAGTAATTAGAACTACTCTGTCTATTTTAGAAGTGTAATGAGATATTCAGTGTAGCGTATGAACAAGTTTATAGTAATATTGATTATTGTCATAAAATATCTTATCTTCATCACTTCTTACTCCTTGTATCCTCTAACGTTACCATGTTTTATCGACTAAATCAATTCCACAGGTTATTTAACTGAACTCCATTATTAAAACGTTTATTTCTTAATCTTTGACTGACTTAAAAAATATATTTGCATAGTTTTATGGTCAGGGGCTTAATGTCCTAATAAAATTTCCAGTACATTGGCGTAAAGTTCCGGTGTTGAGGTTTGGCTCGGTACACGATTTGCATCAGTATCTTTTTTATTTTTCGTAAGGGGTGATACTGGCCTTGACAGGCATACTCCCTCAATCTAATAATATTACATAAAACATAAAATATGTAAATAAATAATATATAGAATATTCATAATAAATAAACAGGTTTTTGGGGAAAAAAGGGCCTCCTAATAGGACAGTAAAAGTCCGCGAAGCAACAAGATAAATCAATTCTACAGATAGGTTCCATATGACCAGGATCCTCTGACTGTAAGTTTTAAATGGATATAAAATGATCTGAATATATATTTAGATCATAAAGTTAAGGATGTTATTTTACAGAAACAATAACAGTATTAATAGTCAGTCCATCGAAGATTCTGTATTAATTCTGGTTTACATTATCAGCATGTAAACATTAATAATTCATGTATATAATATATATCTTTGGCACACAAAATAATGGTGATCGTACAGTGAAAATAACCATAACTCCTTACATTTGGATTCAAAATATTGCTTCGAAGGTTAGTGAAAAATGTACATTACTTTCGACTATCACGTTTCAATATACATGTATATACTAATTGTGAATACTGAAGGATGTGAACTTTAAAGATCAAAAACTTGGTTTCCGGTTTATTTTAAGATCATTTATCAAGCCAAGTATGAAGACGGTTTGTCAATATCTACACATAATAAAATAATGATCCGTTTAAATGTGTCTATAGCGTGGCCTATAAACGATCATTATTGGTACTGTTCGAGAAGATTGAATTATTATAAAGAAGGGACTTTGTTTACAGATAACCGAGTTATGTGTTAAATACCTATTGATCAATCTATAGCCATGGTCAACAAGTCGGATTATAGAGGATTTACAGAAGCACGGTTGTTTTATTGATTTGCTTGTATGAGGTCTGGGGGATGGATATTTAATAGGTGGTTTGATGAAGTATTTATTAAGCTCTATTTTTATTCATTTGGAAAATGATGTATAGTATGATACTTACAAATAGCTCAGAAATTTATTTAATACAATGGCTTCTGATTTGGATCGATCAGACTCGTGGTTAAACATGGGTATTACCGAGTGTCATAACATAACATAACATAACATAACATAACGTAATATATTACATTTGATATAGCGCACATTACTGTCATACATTCAATGACGCTTCAATTTCAAAAAGTCTTCAACAAACGTTAACGGGATGCTTTACGGAAGAGGTATATTTCGAGTTTCTTTTTCAAATCCGTTACAGTCTGACATTGTTTTACACTTGCGGTCCTAACAAAATGAATGATCTGTCTGCAAATGTTTTATTTTTAGTCTTGGGTATTGATAACATGTTTCTTTTATGACGATCTTGTATTGTATGATAAAGTTTGTGACTATAATAATTCAGAAAGGGAGGCAGAGCAAGGTTGTGGAAACACTTATACACCAGTATCAGTAGCTTGAGTTGGCATCGGACTTCAATTGGCAATGTATGAAGTTCTTCCAGAACAGCAGTAACTAACACCAAGAATCAGTTTTGCAGTAAAAGTTTGAATTTGTTGGAGAAGTTGAGCAATAGCTGCTGGCAGATCACAGAGCAGACTATTTCCATAATTCATATGGGAGAAAACAAAATGACGCTTAATGTTTAAGTTTTCGTCCAAATACATCCCCAGGAATTTAACACGGGATGTAGACTCAACTACAGAATCCTCGACTTTTAATTCGTGGATGGTAGACTTGTGGAGCTGACGGCTACCACCGAAGATAATAACATCAGTTTTGTTGACGTTCAACTTTAGTCGATTGTGTAGCATCCAGATTTTAACGTTGTCTAAGAACTCTGATATACAGAAAGCATTACTCAAGAAAGTTATAGACGATCTTCAATGTTAAAGGGTTTGTTACAGCCCTTTACAACGATATAAATATGTATAATTTATTTAGTGCTAAAATTTAACCCGGCTGTTTGTATTTGAAGAGTGGGTAGAAACCTTATGGCAACACCTCTAGTATCGAGGAAAATGAAATGGGGTTTAACGTCCTACTCTTCTGCTCCCAGTGGGATAATGAAGACTTGAATACTCCATACAGTGTGCTCAGGGGAATTTTGCCCAGACAACGAAGCTGTGGCCTACTCTTATATCGAATTCTTACTGCAAAGGGTTCTTTTACATGCATCCATGTGTGTATACAGGACCTCGGTTTCTCGTACCATCCGAATGACTATGAATCACTGACAAAGGTGGGGGGGGGGCATACCGAAAAATCCAGATGAACTTTCTCGTCCAACACCGGAATCGAACATGGGACCTCCCGGTTACATCTTACTTACTGACCAACCTCCTGTTAATATATATGTTAAAATCACTGTTCGTATTGGTATAAAATAAATACAGTGTACTTTGCTTTTGGCAAACTGTGAAGTACTGAATTATTCACAGCACGTAGATAAACAAGGTAATTCACAGATTTCCATGACGTTGTTTCCCCAGTTTTAAAAATTCAGGTATCTTTATCCTTCCGTAGAACATAGACAAAAATACCATATTACTTAAATCATGCACACGAATTATGTCTTTGTTCTCATCGCTTAGTCATGAATTCACACGCTAAAACATTTTTGGTGGGAATGTGATCCTCGACACGTCTGGGTTGCAGGTGTGGGTATACATGTATATATTTTCTTGTAATAAGACTAGATAACTCTGTATGTAGTCTAAAGACATTCAGTAATGCTAGGTTCCCACTGTCGTGAGATGCGTTAAGATAGGATTGTCCTTATTGAGTCTACGATCTTGTACGTGCAGATACGTTCGGATACATTTCAAAACGATCAACACGATTGCTACGACTGACCTCAATATGATAAAACCAGATAGGATCACCACGATTATTCCACGATTAAAACCGTGATTTCAATCGCAGCACGAATCGTGATAGTGGAAACCTAGCATAACATCAGATTTGTATGCCAATAGTTGTAAAATTTAGATACGGTTGAAGTGGTTCCGGATAACGTATATAATGATGTATCTTTAAAAGACGGGTATTTTGGGGGATCGGTGTGTAGCTATTCAACATCAGCGTGTATATGGGGTGTTCACACAGGTAACCGCTTTTTTATTTCTACAACTTGACTGGTGAATTTGTCGGGTGCGACGATAAACCAAGGTTAATCCGTGTACACATTATCGTTCATGTAACAGAAGAGCTGCAATTAACGGAATGCACGATGGGATGTCGCCCTTCTTCCTGACATTGCACCGTAGACTGCGTTGACGAAA